TGTCGGCCCATTGTTTTCTTCTCCGGATTGTTTATCCTGCCTACCTTATCAAGATAGACCTGCAGAAAACATCCCAACCCTTAAGGGTGGCATACAAAGCTTCCTTCCTTCTATCGGTCTCTGCCCCTGAACTCCATGTGCCTCACGCTCCAGCCAAGCCAACAATTCCTGACATTCCTAAGTCAGGCATGGTTACTGGATTCCAAACTTCTGCATGTGTATGTCTGCCTAAAATGTCTTTTTTTTTAACTTGACATTCCCCTTATTCACATCACCACCATATATGTTTTTCAAGACACAGCTCAGACATCACCTTCTAGAGCAGTGGTTCTCAACCTTCCTAATGCTGCGACCCTCTCATACAGTTTCTCATGTTGTGGTGACCCCCACCAAACCATGAAATTATTTTTGTTGCTACTTCATAACTGTAATGTTTCTACTGTTATGAGTTGGGTGACTCCTGTGAAAGAGTCGTTCGACCCACAGGTTGAGAACCGCTGTTTCAGAGGAAGTCAGGCTACATGTCCCTCATCGGAGTGTCCAGAATCCTGCACACTTCCTCACAGCACTCCCCACATGGCTTTAGGATGGCCAGCTGTTACTTGTCTCCCCTTAAACTGCCAGCTTCCTTTCCAAAAAAAGACCACATGGTTGGGTTTTAGTCAAGCTTTGCATAAAAAACCCACTGCCATCAAGGTGACGCTAGCTCACAGCAACCTCATAGAACGGGGTAGAATTGCCCCTGCAGGGTTTCCAAGACTGTTAACTCTACAGGAGTAGAAAGCCTTGTCTTTTTCCCTGTGCACAGTGCCTAGCTTTCAAAGTACACTGAAGGAATGAAATTGTCTTGCATCAAATATGTTAAATATGTACTTAAATGAAAAATACACAAGTACTCTGAAGATAACATCTCTAATCATAACAGACCTTAGCTCTCTCCTTCTGAACATTTGCTGAGCAGAGGAGTTTTCCAGGGGAGACTCATTATTTGGTCAGCTATATGTTTCCCAATGTTCCAACCGAAATTACGTGACCTGCAAAAATGTCAATCTGGTCTGGCAGCTGTTACCAAATTTCCAGACACTACTGCTCTAGCATTAGGGTTGTTGCTAATTTTAAGCCTCTAATTCAGAACACATGCTTCCTTGGCAACTGGACGACACCAGACTGGCGAACTCACCTTTCCTCCGTCTTGAGGGGAGATGCCGACCTCAGAGGCCGGGGGCACATTCTCTTTGTGTTCCAGTTTAGGAGCTCTAACTTCACCACCGTTGGCTCGCAAGTCATTCTACAAAACGAAAATAACCTGTGCTGTTTTGTTTTGTTTTGTTTTAATTCTCACCATTCCATTCTCTTGACAGCACAGCTATTAAGAAAAGTCAGGACATTAAAAGAATTTTTTGGGTAAGAGGCTTCAACTAGACTAACCCCCCGCCCCCACCCCCCTTCCCCAACTCTCACAAGCAAAACCCAGAGACTCGTGAGAGGACAGCAGCAGCTTTGTGGACGCACACCTCAGGTTAAGGGCTGTACGCTAAGTCTAGGACCGGACGCTCATTAGAACACACACACACACACACACATCAACACAGACAAACACAGTCTTGTGATTTACTCTTCTAGCAGCCGAGCTTGTGGGAATGCAAAGCTAGTGAGTTTTACCAAAAAGATCATTCTGGAGCAGAGGGAAGGAGATGCCAAGTGCCAATAATGAAGAAAATATACTGACCATATCTACACATGCCCGGCCTGGAAAGAGAGACAGGGATGATGTACATATATACAAAAACCAAAAAAGCAGCCAAGTAATAATTCATGATACCATAAAACAATCCTTCTTGTGGGACTTTAAAGCATGCTTTGCACATAAAATCGATTCATTTTACTACCGACATTCCTATTTTACTCCTTGACATGAAAAAAAAAAGGCATGCATTTATACGGTCAGCATGGGTAAGCACAATCATTTTCTTTTTCTTGTAGTAGACCACTGGGCAGAAGATCCACTTTTATCTAACGTCCACATAAAAGCAGGTGACTATGGACATTGACTAACGTCAAAGTCATCGAGTCATTAGCACCGTGCTCCACAGGGGCTTCTTCTAATGGCTGGATTTTCAGAAGATTGCTGGGTCTTTCTTCCAAGACGCCTCTGGGGGGACCTGAACCTTCAACCTCTGGCTAATAGCATTTGAATCACCTGGGGACTCCTTTCCTACCTGGTGTGTGTGCAATGGAGTTGATTTCAAGTCATAGACACACTTTATAACAGAATAGAGCTGCCCTATGGGGCAGCTCTAATAGTTTCTCATAATAACAGTAATCTTCTAATTTAGTGCCTATCTGTTCTGTGTATCCTCAGGCATGAGGAGGAAATGAAGCAATGCGTGGCCACAGGGCCCTGATTTGGGAGTGCAAGTGTGACCGGTTTGGTCAGGTGTGGTGTTCCGTGGAAGGCACATAGTTCTTGGAGGCACACGGATGAGAGGAGCTGGCAAGTTGCACGTATTACAAACCCAACTCATTCCTGGGCTTGTCTCAAAGCCCAGCCTCCCAAACTACTGCCAGAGGGTGTGGGCTTTCTTACAACCATATTCTACAAGGGGCCTGGGAAATTCTTTTGGGATGAGATATAAACTGTACTTTTACAAGAATTCCTAAAGATGTTGGAATCTACAGAGCCGAAGACTGGCAATGGGGAAACACTCTGAGGAATGAAGAAGAAAAGCCACTGATCAGGTTTTCCCACCTGGGAGTCATTTGGTCAGACTGCCTGTAGCAGGAGGGCACTGAGAAGCAGCAAACTCCTGCAGCAAGAGGGAATGAAGTCAGCTCCACAGATCTCTTGACCTGCCATCTAAGAAGTCCAAGCTTGCGCATTTTTCACACTCACAGTGGCTAATGAGCCTGGGATGGTCTACTTTGCCACTGCTTTACATACACTGTCTCTTCTTACAACCATCTTGATTAGGAAATCAAGATGAAATTATTCATTGCCCAGAGAAGTGGTCAACCAATGTTATGGGAGAATGGGCACTCAATAGTGTGGAGAAAAGAAGGCTTAGCTCCCAGGGTACATGTTATGATTTCTAATGTGCAGCAGTTTCAACTTGCAAAATTCAATACTATTCTTCCAACTGTGGAATCTTAGAAGGAACAAATGCTTGAAATATATATATATTTCAAGCATATGTCTGTGTATATGCGAATAAATGGCATTTTTAAAAAAGGAAACTTCAATTCAACCATTCTATTGTCAGCCTGCCAGTTAATTCTAGGGGAATACAAAACAAAGTCTATTCTATATCTATTCCTCACTTAACGACTCCCATAATTTTCCATTTATGACAATAGTAAAAACCTCCTATTTTTTATTAAAAAAGTATCTCTGGCAGTCATCAAAACCGAGGTTCCAGGTGAGAGCAACGCTGGCGGTGATGGTTAAGGTTAAGTGTCAAATTGTCTGAGCCATGATTCCCAGTGGTTTGGCAGTTATGTAATTTCGCAGTTATGGAACAATATAATTCGGCAGTTACACAGTAATGTAGTCATCCTCCATTTTTTCATAAGGCCAATTTTTAGAGAATGGGTTGGTCTTTGGAACCTAACAGATAAATGCAGAGTGGGTGTATTTAGAATACCTAACCTATCATCTTTAGTCATCTATGTCCCTTTACCTTAGTCATTATTCTGCCACTTTAAGAAACCATTGCATAACAAGGACTAAAGATTATGGGGACAATACACTGTATGATTTCATTTACACAAAGTGTCCAGGCTAGGAAAGTGTTAAAGAGACAAAAGAGCTCTAGTAGTTTCTAGTGGGCATGGAGAGGAGAGACTGGGAGTGACCACTAACAAGTCTGGAATTTCTTTTTTTGCGGTGATGAAACTGCTAGAATTGATCATGGTGAAAGCTATGTCATCCAGCAGCAAGCACACTGAAAATCACTGAATGTACACTTTCAGAGGGTAAATTCTATGCAATATGAATTTCAGCTTCATATTAAGTCCCTGCGTTAAGGCTGAACACAGCCGATATGCCTCTTCTCTCAAAACCCAAGATAAAACTACATGCTTCTGTTAAAACTCATAAAATGTTACTTCTTGAACAACAACAAAAGAAAGGCGATAAAGGTTACACAGAAGAGCCAGGAAAATTCTCCGTGACCTCACTGGAGGGCAGCATCATACACCTACACAACAATGAGGGGCGACCCCGGAGAGCATCCTCAGGACTGCTAATGAGGCGAGGGCAGGCTCTGTGTGGGAAACCATCCTGGGGGGATGGGTCGGGGATGAACCAGGGCTCCCAGGGAAGGGCCTGAAGGAAGTTTTTAGTTCTCTGGAAGGACTGAATGAATGAGTGGTGTTCCACATACGGAATAGTTGGTTGAGCTGCTTTGTTTGGACACAGCTGCCTGGTACTTGGCCATCCGGTCCTTTATGGAGGTCTCTGACAGGCGGGGGAGCTCCAGATTCCGCCTCGGCTCACTTTTCTCCGAGTTGACAGCAGATGATGACAAGTGACCTGAAAGCATGCAAATAACATGTTTTATTAGGAGATAAAGTACCATTGAAAGGGTTTCAAGAGTCTAAATTTGGGGGTACTGCAAACGGAACAGCCAATGTCTTCTACTAAAGAGTAAAAAGAAAGAAACCCAGAAATGTAATGGCCACTTATCAGGTAGGTTACAGTCACTCATTTTCTCAGCTTTAAAAGAACGCCCAACGACCATGATTAGTGTGCATTTTAAATTTTTGGCTAATTTAACATGTGAAAAATAAGGTCTCGGTGCAATTTCAATTTGCATAATTCATTTTGTTGATTACTAGACGGCTGATGATTTTCCTGTGTTTATTAATCACACTTTCTTTTTCCCTTTTGTGAAGTGCCTGCATATGCCCCGCCCCTCACAAAACATGGTAATTCTGCTTAAAGGCATTATGGTGCCACTGGGAAGACTTGACAGCCAATCCTTAGGGGACGCAGGCCCTGGGAAGGAGTCCTCAAGCCCCAGAGGAGTGTGGGGCCAAGACTCTTTGTAGCACGGCTTTTGTAATCTCTGAAAGGCACTCCTTCGTTCCCTTAGGTTATCACTGCCAAGGACAGATTACAATAGAGGCGCTATTTGTAGAGAGCAATGGGATTTGGGGCTAGCTTTTATCTAACAGATGAACTTCCTTTTAATATCTTTTTTTTTTTCCCTTTGGATTGCTACTTTAATGTTTCAAACTTTTATAAGTCAAACATTTCTTCTATGAGTATTCTTGGGCATGTACCTTGGGCATTACCCTGTGTGTAAGCTATTTATTTCAGTTTCATAATTATTATTCAAATTCTAGATTAATCAGATTTTGTGTTTTTGGGTTTTTTTTAGTGTGGTAGTTGTTTTTTTTAAACATTTTATTAGGGGCTCATACAACTGTTATCGCAATCCATACACACATCAATTGTGTAAACCACATTTGTACATCATTCGCAAAACATTTTCTCTCCACTTAAACCCCCGACATTAGGTCCTCATTTTTCCCCTCCCTCCCCGCTCTCCCCTCCCTTAATACCTCTATTTTTAAAAGGGAATTTATCTCGACTGTTGAGAATATACACATCAAAATGTAACAGGTATCATCATTCAGCGACACTCTTTGAGTGTGCCTCCACTCTCCTAAGCTTTTCCTGAGCCCTTCCTCCCCGTTCATACAACTCATTGCCCTCGGAGGAGCCCATCTCCTCCACTGTGCAGCGGCTGTCAATGTGATCTCACAGGGAGAGTCCTTGAGCATAAAGCTCAGTTGCCACTCTGCTTTTACAAGCATTGGCCTTTAGGCCAAGAAGGATCGCTACTAATTAGCCGTTCCCAGAGGATTTTACATGCATGGAATGTTCTGCTTACCTGGGCCTATTTCCAAGTCATCCAGAGAATAGCTGTTATCAGAGATCTTCCTTCCACCTGCACTTCGACTCTGGGTTTGAAGAATCTGTTTCGGAAACAAAACCTAGAAGTAAGCTTCGCAGAGAAGATGGGAAATGCTGGATGCAATGTTCAGAAGAGAGACCTGGAGATCTCTTTTATAAATACCCCCCAGAAAATGTTACATTCTATATTCATGCGTAGAGAATGCCAGTTTCCACAGAAGTTTTCAGACTGTTGCAAATGTCAAGCACTGCATATTCACAAGTGCCCAGGGAAAATAACTCTCTAGGTAAGAGCCCGTTGTCAGCCAGCAAGCCTCGTCATTTCAACAGTTATCAGAAGGGAGTCCTCATGTTCCAGGTGACAGGGGCATGTCCCTCCAAATGGCTGTTTCCCATCCCCACCCCACTTTATCCCTGCTGCCGGGTGCTGTCCTGGCTCACACTGTCATCTTTTTTCCTGGACTACAGAATTCCCTTTCTAATTGTTCTTCCTCACTTTCCAACTCAGGCTGCTGCCAAGGTAGTTAGGCCATACTACAAATCTGATTAGTGACTCTCCTGCGGAATTCTATAAGGATTCCCTTTCACTCCCAGAAGTCGTTCCAAAGTGCTCAGTGTATCATAAAAGCCCATTCTAGATTTGGTTCCTATCCAGCCTCCTCACGGGTTTTCTCGGCCGCACCCTTGACTTGTAGAAGCAGCAATCTGCTGGGAGTTTTACATCATTGGAAATAAGGTTCCTTTTGTTGTCTCGCAAAGACCTGTTCCTACAAGGCTCGCGGGACGTAAAATCTCTGCTGGGAAATCACTTTCTCCTACATAAACTGAGGTCACGCTTCTGTTCCCATGCTTATCCGACTGCTGTCTGATTGTGCCTCCACCGTAGACTATCAGCTCACTGTGGGCAGCCTGAAGACGTTCCACCCAAGCGTTCCAGCACTTACAGAAGAGTGGCTGGCACAGAGTGTTTAAGCAAAGTTTGTACGATTTCTATAAATCGCTCCACGACCCCTCTTTCATCTAGAGTTGATGTCCAATGAAAGTTAAACACAACACTTTTTTTAAGACTGGAAAGGTGAACAGAAAGTCACTTAGTAGCGTAGAATATTCGCAGACACAGTCCATACACATAGTGTATCATGTTAGCTCAGTTTGTGACGAGATCTTGAACCAGAAGTTATCATTCAAATCTCAATTCATTTCCAGAGAACCTTAAGCAAGAGCGCTACCTGAAATCCACCATTACAGGCGAGTCAATCACGTGGTACACTTCTGAAAACACACGCATCAGAGGACTGACCAACCCGCAAGCCTGTTGCTGTTGGGTCAGTTGTGATTGACTCACAGCAGCCCCGTGAGATGAGGAGAACAAACCGGATAGGGTTTCCCAGGCTGTAATCTGCACGGAAGCAGACTGCCACATGTCTCCTGCAGAGTGGCCACGGGGTTCTCATCACCCTTGCTTAAGCCTTTAACCATGGCACCCACCAGAAAACCAAACCAAACTCATTGCCACGGAGTCGATTCCAACTACGGTGGCCCAATAAGCCAGAGGAGAATTACCCCTATGAGTTTCCGAGCATGCAAATTGCTATGGGTCTAGAAAGCCTCATCTTTCTTCCTCGGAGCAACTGGCGGGTTTGAACTGCTGACGTTGTGGTTAGCATCCTGACCCCTAACCCACACCACCACCACCAAGCCAACTCACCGCCACTGAGTCTATGCCGACTCCTAGTGACCCTACAGGGCAAGCCGATTCCGAGACTGTAACTGTTCAGGAGAGCACAAAGCCCCGTCTTTCTCCCAAGGATCGTGGTGGTTTCGAACTGCTGACCTTGAAGATCGCAGCCTAATGAATGCATAACCTCTATGCGACCAGGGCTCCGCCAGAGCTCCTTAAATATAGTTCCCTACAGATTCAGTATATTTAATAAAATTTCCCGTCAGCTCTGCTATTTTCACTATCAATTAAATCTATTTTTATTAAAAACTAAAACAATGAAGCCTATTTTCATAAAAACTGGGGACTGTAGCCTGGCCACATCAGACCTAGCTCAGCTGTCCTAACATCACAATGCATTCCTGCTACAGCAGCGGTACCGCTGGAAAAGAAGGTCACTCGCCAAGGAAAGGTGAGGTTTGGCCAGGACCCCCTTTAGCCACGTTATTTTGTTTTGTTTTTGACACACTGCTCACCGGCTGAGGCTGATCCTTAAAATAAAGGGAAATTCTAAAGATTTATTCCAAGTGCCACTGCACTGTTAAAAAAAAAGATCACTATAAAAATCAGAATTTCAGGACTCAAAAAGGGCAAAGGCCTAGGGCGGAGGGCGGGGTTTAAAAACCCCATCGGAATGGTTGTGTATTCCTTAACACTGGAGCAGTATTTCAAATCGTTACTTTCTGTCAAAGGCACAGTTCAAGTACAATTTCAAGTATGTGCTACAATGTGGCAGCCTGCAGAGCTGAGGTTTCAGTCTGTCGTGCCTGTCATTCACCCCTCTGGGCCCAAAGCCACATGCATCCCTGCACTGGGTACTGGACAAGACCAAGTAGAACTAGACCAACCAACGGCCAAGGACAAGGGCTTCCTTTGGTTCTGGACGCACAAAAGGGCTCCCAATCCTCCATTTTTGCCTCTTGCTACAATTTTAATTAAACTGATAGATTAAGCATAATTTCCTAAGCATAATTTTCAAGAGTTTTATCAACATATGGTTCATGTACCATACAATTCAAAGGCTTTTAAAGAGTTCTGCAAATGTCACCACTTCATTTTATTTTCCCACGATCCATTTTAGAACATTTTCTTCATTCTTGTCCCCGTGATGATTAGCTTAAATAAGCATCATTGTAAAATCTTCTGATCCACGAAGCTATCATTGAATGTACACAAAAAGCGTACATACAGGTTTGGTCTTGGAGACATGCGGGGACATGTCTGGAAATCAGAGCTTTCCTGACACCAGTCCTGCACTGGGGCAACAGTTCTCAGAGAAGGTCCCAGGTGAAGTGCTTGGCAAACCCACTCGAATGTTAACAACAGGATCCCACATGCATTTAAGACAGACTTTAGGGTTTTCATTTGATAGAGGTGATGTGAGGTACAGGAAGAAGGAGGGGTTTCCTTCGACATTTCCCAAGTTCAGAAAAGAGCACCAGGGGGAAGAAAAACAGGAATTCTGACACCAAAAAATTCTCCAGCAACACATTTAGATCACATTTTAAATCTTTTTCACTCAAGAACACTTGAGGGAGCTTCAGTCCTTATATTAAAAGAAGAAAAAGAAGACAAGACACTTCAACTTTAAGACTTTCTGGAATTTCCTAAGGCTTGGCCTCACCCCATCCCACAAGTCCTCTTTCCTGTCAGCTGACTGTAACTCTCCTGTGAACACCCCCTAAGTATTCTCTGCAAATCCACAATCCAAATGCACAAATCCAAGTACAGATGTAAAATTTCTCTTTTTTCATCTTTAAAAAATAAAGCTAGGTTCTAAACAGTTGAGTAAGGAAACAGGCTTCCCCACTCCTATTTTCAAGAGCAGATTAGTTTTTGAAGCTGCTTGTCAGCGCTTTAATTTGCCGTAAGTTAAGACTAGTGAGGGGCGTGTCTTAATTCCTTGGGCCACTTCCTTTCCTTCAGTCTCTAGACTTTGACCTTTCCTCAGACTCTGCAGTTGTGATGGCCATGTGACTCAACCCTACGTGCAGAATGAATTGCTTCACAGGGTTTTCAAGGTGATGGTGACCCTCTGGAAGAGGGTCCCCAGGCACTTGGGTGGGCACCCTGTGTGCCACATAGGGATCCTCTGATGCCACCAAAATCAAGGTGAGGAAAGAAAGGCTTTTAGGGGGAAGTGGGGCTTGATGAAACTAAATGCGGAGTCCCCAGAAAAGCAACGTATAGAGGAGGAGCTGGCTGGGAGCTTCACGAGCTGGGATATCTTCATAGTTTTTGTATTTCTAAGCTTTTTACAAGAAGATATATATGACTCTTAAAATTAGGAAAAAGCAAAAGGGAGGAGAGTTAATACTTCATATCTATGAAGTTAACATAAACAAAAAAATGATGAAACGAAAATGCTGAAGTGAACCAAACCCTGAGAAGGCTCTGGGACCCATGCCCTTGTCTTTCAAGGCCGTTGCTATAAGACAGCCTTGGAGAACAAGCTGAAAATACAGAAAAACAATGCTGAATGACAGCATCTTTGGATCACTTCAGTGACAGAGCCAAAATAAACCAGGCAAACGCATTCCTGCCAAACTGCCTAGAGCACTTCTATTAGCGCCCTCCTCCCCCAAATCTAATAATTGGGAATGATTCAATATGAAGTTATCATTTCCATAAAAGAAAACTCCAAGAGCTAGAGGATATGCAGGAAACTCTCTAAAAAAGGCCCAGCAACTGTTGTGTTAGCGGCTGTCGACGCCTAGCGTCCCTATGGGCAATGAGACAAAGCATGGCTCCCTCTCCATCATCATCATCGCTGTGATTGAGCCTATTACAGCTTCTGCGTCAATCCGCATCACTGAGTCTTCCTCTTCTCACGGAGTCGCGGCCTCACCAGCCACGATGTCCTTTTCCAGCGACTGGTCCCTTCTGATAACACGCCCAAAGTAGCGCACACAGTCTTGCTATCTATACATCTCCGGAGCACTGCGGCTGGACTTCTTCCCAGGCAGATTTGTTCACTCCTCTGCCAGCTCATGGTATAGTCCACATGCCTAAGAGGTCATGGAAAATACATCGTGGACAGGCTCACTCAGCCCTCAAGGTAACATCTTCACGTTCTCACACATTAACGAGGGCTCTTGCAGCAGATTTGCCCACTGCAATACATCATTTGCTTTCTTGACTGGTGTGACCATGCGTGTTGATTGTGGATATAAGTAAAATGAAATATTTGGCAACTTCAATATTTCCTGTTTATCATGATAACGCGTATCGGGCCAGTTGTGAAGATTCTTGTTTAATTTTATGTCAAGGTGTAATCTATATTGATGGCTGTTGTCTTTGATCTTCAAAGTGATATTAGCTTTCAGCAAGAAAGGCTGTGTC